TTATTTTCCGAAATAACGTAACGAACTATCCTGGATCAACTTACAACCTATAATAGTAAATAATAAGAATAAGAATACAATAAGATCTCATTTAATATGCTCATGTAATTTACAAAGCAGTTATGAAACTATTATGAATTAAACTTACGAACTATAAAATTAATAATCAATAAAATTTAATATCATTTTATATTATTTTACAAAATAAATAACGAGTATAATCTGGATTCAACTTGCCACCTATAATAATAAAGAATAAGAATACAACTAAATCTAATTTCGTATAATTATTACGAAAAAATAAAAAAAATATCCTGAATTTAACTTACCGCCTATAATTGTAAAGAACAAAAATAAATATGTTAAATCTCATTTAAATAATTTTTACGAAAAATAACGAGAGTATTTTAATTTAACTTACCCACTGTAGAGGTTGGTATTGATAAAATTTAAACCAATTTCATTTTATTTTACGAAGCAAATAACAATATCCTGGATTCACTTACAATCTACAATAATAATTATAAGAATACGATTAACTCTCGTTTCGTATTATTTACAAAAAAACAACAGACATCCTATATTCAACTTACATTCTACAATAATAATGAGTAATAACATAATTAAATCTTATTTTATATAACTTCACAAAAAAATTAAAGAAAATACCTAAATTCAACTTACCCACTATAGTTACTTATTACGTTAATCTCATTTAATACGACTTTATGAAACATAAAAAATCCCGAACTTACAATCTACAATAGTAGAGTTTGAATATAACTAAATCTCATTTCATATTATTTTACAAATCATTATCTAATATTTGGATTTACTTACAATATAAAATGATAAATAATAAATACAATTAAATCTCCAATATAATTTTATTAATCAATTAACAAAAGTATCCTGAATTAACATTACCCCCTATAAGAGTTTGTTAATACAATTGAATTTCATTTCATGATTGTGAACTAACTTACGAAAAATATCATAATTTAACTTACCTGCTAAATATTGACGATTTATGTAATTTTAGATTTCATTTTACAAAACCTAACGCAGGTGCTAACTTACCATCTACAGTAGTAAAGCATGATAAACTTAATTTCGTATAATTTTTAACAAAAATATTTTGGATTTAAATTACTATCTATAATATTAAAAAAGAAGAATAAAATTAAATCTTATTTTATATGGTTATACAAAACATTTAACGAAATATCCTGGATTAAACTTACCCCCTATAAAATTGACGATTAATACAATCGAATTTTTAATTTCACTTCATGTAATTTACAAAACAAATAAAAAAATATCCTTAGTTAAAGTTATCATCTACAGCAGTGAATAATAAGGATATAGCTATATTTAATTTTATATAATTTACAAAATAAATAACGAAAAATATCCTGGATACAACTTACTATAAAAATTAATAATTAATACAATTAATCTTATTTTATATATTTTACGAAACAAATATCTTGATTCAACTTACGATCTACAATATTAAATGATTAATCTTAACTCCTATGATTTTACGAATAACCAAAGAAAATGTCCTACATTTAACTTACCCACTATAAAAGTTAATTTACATAATTTTACGAATCAAATAACGAATATCTCGGATACAACTTACTATCTATAATTACCCGATGCATGACGATAGTCATGCAAGGGTTATTATCGCGAAGATTATCCTACATGTGACTTTTGTAGTACAGATATTGTTATTTATGGAATGATGTAATGATGAGATCACTAGTGCTTGTTTTCTTCGTTGCCCGATTCTTATCCGGCTTTTCGTGAAGACTACCTTCAAGTTCTAATGACTGACGCAAATATATCAAAAACAGACCTTGAAAACGTTTGTCAAGCCCTTGGTATCGCTACTGACGGAGTAAAAGCTGACCTGATTCAGAGATTGAGAAAGCACCTAAAAGGAAAAAACCGTGCTGAAAGCAATGACACTGAACTATCCTGTAGAAACGAAGAGGAAGGTCCAAACACGATGGGTCATGATCACCTCTCAGATACATCAGAAATAGATTTGAATCAGCAAGCAAGAACTTTAAGAGAACTGGCACACCTGTCACAAAAAGGAACAGAACCACGGGACTCCTTAGAGAACAATCGCTGAGTCTTGAAAATGACAAACTGGAACTAGACAAAATTTACTAAATAAAAAACGTCGCCTACCAAATGATGAGGATTGTGAATCGACAGAAAGTAAAATATTAACAGAGTTTAAGCGATTAGAAAGTGCTGTATTAACAATGAACGATAAGTTGAATACTGTAACGGCGCAAGTACATGATACAAAACAAAAAGTTGAAGTAAATGAAACTTGGCAGAAACATAAGTTTGAAAAATCACGCGATCAACATGAGTATGATGCCTTACGAAAAATCGGCAAAGAATTAGACCTAGCAATGGAATCTCACAGTACGATGGAAGTGGTGGACCATATAAATAATGCACGAGAAATAGCATCCAATCGTATATTTACACTAAGAGTAGCTGAAGGATATGGCTGAGATATTGCATCTGCCTTACCTGATATGCAAAATGATTGGATGAAGGGAAAGGATTTGTTAATTGAAAAAGCGAAGACATTAGTGGAAGTAAAAAAGGTGAAGCGACAAAAAACATATGAACTACCAAAAACAAACAATCATACCTATTGGGGAAGCAATTATCGGGATTCAGAAAAGTTTTTTCGAGCCAACCAGAGAAGCAAAAACAATAATCCAAATTCCGGCAAGTGCTATATCTGTGAAGGATATGGACATATTGCGAATGAATGCCCATCAGACCCGAACAAAGACAATTACAAGTACCGAACCTACCATTCACGAGGATATACTTCCTACAAAAGCAAATATGATAGAAGCTACAACAATGGAGACAATGAGAACAGAAAGCATGATTGACTACACTCGGGCACAATAATCACATACCAGTAACTGGACGCTTGCACATGAAACAACACGTAAATTACTGGAAAACGAAAATATAGGCATTGGAACTAATTGTAAACTGGTTGGAAAATGGCATTCCCTTATTTCCAAAAGGGCTATTAGTACTGGCGAACCAACCAAATCCTCCGCACTATCCTTTAACCAAAGAACAAGATGTTTGGTTAAAAACAGAAATACAAAGATTAACAGAAATAAAAGCAATTATCTTAATTTCATCAATGAAAACACGTCCAACAATATTACTGGAAGTCAGCCTCATATTTTTAACACCGAAAAAGGGTCACAAGAAATGGAGATTAGTGATCGATCTCAGACGGTTAAATGCAACATTACCAGAGAAAACATTCAAATTCGAGAAATTTGGAACATTTCTTCGGATGATTGGCAAAAACTAGTGGATAATCATATTAGACCTAAAAGAGGGATATCATTATATACTAATGGACAAAAAAGCTTAACGATTACTAGGGTTCCAAGTAAAAGAAAAATGGTATCATTATCGTAAATGGTATCATTATCGTGTGATGCCCTTTGGACTGAGTCAAGTGGTATGGATTTTCTCAAAAATAATGCGAGCATTGATTGCCCATTGGCGATCTCTAGAAATATCTTATGGGAACCATGTAGATGATATATAGATTGCTTATCCCAACCAAGAGATATTACTACAAATCAGAGATTTGACAATTCTTCTAGATTTGACAAAATGTGGTTTTATACTGGCCAACAAAAGTTAATTAGATCCAACCCAAAAAGTAAAATTCTATGATTTAATTTTAAATACAGTGACAGGAGTTGTATCGGCTCCAGATGCAAAAATAAAAGATATACTATACAATCTACGAGGAGTGCTAACAGCAAAATCATTAACAGCCCGACACCTAGCATCAATGACTGAAAAATTGATGAGTATAAATCAAGCATTTGCATATGCAAAGTTCAATGCCTGGAATTTTATATAATAATCGATACAATACATCGGAAACCATGGGAATGGAACAATTATGTAAAGTTAACAAATCAAGCAAAAAATGATCTAAGATAGCTAATAGAAAATTTAAAAGAAAAAAATGGAAAGCCTGCATGGAAACCATCCCAAATTATTCCTATTTTTGTCGATGCTTCAACCATAGGATGGTCAGCTATATTAAAAGACAAAAAAGTATTTGGAAACTGGGAATATCAACATTTGCACACGGATATAGCCTATTTAGAGGCCTTAGCAGTGTTACTCAGTCTCTAAGCATTTATTTCAGATATAAAACACCGATGGATTACAATATTTATAGACAACCATGTAGCACGCAAGACAATAGAAGCAGGAGGAAAGCAACCATGGCAAAAGGAAATAATGCGAGAAGTTTGGAGTCTTTGCAATCATCACAATATACAAATTCACAAAATTCAATAGATTTCGACTTATTTAAATCCAGCCGACGAACTAACAAGGTTTTTTGAAGATTCCGATTGGATATTAGCACAGAAAATTTTTGAAATAATAAATCTAAAATGGGGTCCATTTACAATAGACAGAATGGCGAGTTATCTGTCGAAAAAGCTAAATCGTTTAAACAGTCGTTACTACTGCCCAGAATCAAAAGCCACCGATTGTTTTACTCAAGAATGGAACCTGGAAAACAATTATGTATGCCCTCCATTAAGTATAATACACAGAGTACTTGAACATGCAATACAAAGCCAAGCACAAATAATATTAATTGCACTGATATGGACATCAGCACCATGGTGGCCAATCCTAATGAAACAAAAAATGGAAACAATAAATTTACCACTAGCAAAAATAAGCTTTCAACCAAGTTCCAGAGGAAATTTGATACCGGAGCCCTGGAAGAATCATCAGTAAAAATTTCAAGCAATAAAGATATATTTTTAAATGATTTACTCTGTAAAGCCTATAAAATTCTATCACCAAAATCAGCCTATGAAAAATGATTTTATCTATATTGGAAAAACTTTGATACATTTGCAAAATACATGGGCTAACATCACAACCAGCACAACCGGAATCTGTCTTAATGTTCTTAACTTGGAATGATATTTTATCTGGAACTAGTAAACTTAGATTAATCCTTATTGCAATCAAAAAATATCATCAAGAAAGAAATTTTCCCGACCCTACAACTGATGTAAAAGTTCAAAATCTCGCAAGAAAACTAAGAAAATCAGAAGCATTGGGACGTGAAGCAACTTGGCCACGGGATCCACTACCTATTAGTGCTTTGAAAAATTATGTCGACAATCCACCAACTGGAACATCAATGATACTTTGGAGACGAGATTGCGCAATAACTGCCTTGGGACTCCGGACCATGTGTCACCCGTCAGAATTATGTAATCTTCGAATAGCTGACCTAAAATTTGCAAAAAATGTTTGTTGGATAAGAATAAACAGATCCAAAACAGATCAATTTGCAAAAGGAAAGTTTATACCAATAGAATCAACAGAATCGAAATACTGTCCGTTGAGATTAACTTTGGCATACTTAAGTTTGAGAATGGAATTTAATGATCAGGATCCTTTATTCTTAAATATGAATGGCAAGCAAATGACGACAGGCACAGTAAGTGCCATTGTGAAAAGAATGGTAGGACATGCAGGATTAATAGGCAAGTATTCGGGACACAGTATACGTATCGGAGGAGCAACAGAAGCAATGAAAGCAGGCTTGAGTCTACCACAAATTATGAGTATTGGTGGGTGGTTGTCACAATCTGTTGCATTATATCTTAGAGCCTTTTCAACAGCAATGCAAAACACGTCAGCGAAAATGGGTTTTTTAAAAAAAAAAAAATATCGATACTCTTCTATTTTCCCGTTTTGTTTCTTCTTACACTAATAAAATCTGAGTGAGAATAATTACCTGATGCATGACGATAGTCATGCAAGGGTTATTATCACGAAGATTATCCTACATGTGACTTTTGTAGTACAGATATTGTTATTTATGGAATGATGTAATGATG